ATATACTGCCAAATCATCGCACCCTTCCACATCACTTGGAGATAAGATCGATGAGGCGTTCTGGAATTGTTCGAAGGAACGATCTATCGACATCCTTTCGACCAAGGGTGTTATGTCCAGTAAGCGTGTGCGTATGCCTGCAGAAACTCTAAGTTTCCTGGGAGAAGTACCCATGGTCCCACAAGAACTCGCGAATGCAGCAGTCGACTTCATGCTCAATCTACACAATCGCGGTTTCATCACTGAGCTCACAATGCAGGATATCCGCCAAGGATTAGAATCACGAGCACTCAGCGAAGATGAACTCTCCGAGTTTCTTAAGTGGTGTGGATCTAAGCTGGAAAGCGGCGAAATCGATGTGCCCGGTTCTCGTAGCTTGTTCGAAAATACAGTCGCTAATATCGACATTGAGCCAGAAAAGAACTCTGGCAGGATACTGGCTTTGGGCGATATTACCACGTTCGTTAACCCAGCGCGTATCGGTGCACATCTACCTCTTCCGCCAGACACTATTCCTTTCTCCTTCACCAGAGGCATGTCGATCAAACAATTGCAACTCTTCGGCTGGGTGGAACTATCAATGGTTCGCTGGCTACGACATATGACAACACGGCCGCAGCTAGACGAGTTCACCAAGGATGAGAATCTTGCTCTCTCTGTGCTAACGCTGACATCTAAGTGCTGGGAACAACTCGATGGAAATTCCAAGGAGACGGTTGTCAAGATCTTGACACCACACACGATCCTGCCGACGAAGATGGGCATGCGGCGACCGGCGGAGTCGTACTTCCCTACTGTTAAGCTGTTTGACGATCTGCCAACTGTCACACCGTTTGCAGGCTCGAAAGAGAAGTTCCTATTAGCGCTCGGTGTTCGGAAGACTATCGATCTTCCTATGGTGTTTGATCGAATGCGCAGTCGCGACGCGCAGCAGTCAGAGAAATCCGAAAAGCCGACTTGGAATCACGTTGACCTTATCCGCTACTTCGCGTCGGTCATAAATGAAATACCTGCGAAGGATCTTAGTCGTCTACAGCAGACAGCGTTCTTGCCGGGAGAAGGTACTCTAGTAAAACCTGGCGAACAGTTCAAAGCTTCAGACCTTTATGCCCCCGACCCGGCTATTGTAGCTCTAGGCCTGACTCAGATCAAGTTGCCTTTCGAATTCAAGCCCACTACACGAGAGGGTGTATTGCTGCTGCGTCTTGGACTACGACAGTGCCCAGATTCCATTACCGTCGCAAACATACTCCATCGCGCCGGTCAAGCCAAGGATCTTCAGCTGTACATGCGTGCGATGGATTACTTGTTGACGAACTACTACAAGAATAACTACGCCGTGGAGCATCAGAAGTTCGCTGCCCTCACCCTCCCGATTTTGCCGACAGAACAGGCTCCTTTCCCGGCGTTGGTTGGCCCGTTCCAGTGCTACACCAATGAGCACGCAGCATGCCTAGGATTCCCCATTCTGAGAAGCGATCTTCGGAGTCATGCCGAGAAGCTCGGGGTTCAGCGCGATCCAAGTATTGGCCCATGTGTTCAATACCTGATGAAGACACCACCCAAGACTAAGCTTGATGCAGAAATGCAGTTTGCCTATCTTGCTTCGCGCGGATCCGAGTTGGATCAATACAAAGGGCTCATACAGAACCTCGCGACTTCCAACATCGTACCAATCTTTCGGAAGTATTACCTTGACCCCGCTTGCAGCGGATTCGAAGATCGATCCAAGAACCAAACTGGCAAGACCGAGATGCGCATCCATCACTACGATCCACCCGAGCATGTTTTTGTGGGTCGTGATCAAGAGTACCGTGGCATCCTCGATTACGTTCACTATGGCGCGGAAGCTACAGTCTTCCTTCTCAAGATTGGCGCAAAGCATGAGCCGACGACTCATGATCTGGCGTACCTCCTCGCGAAGAATCCTGCTCGGTTCCTCAACACCATTGGGCAAGAGAAATATCTCGATTTGCTGAGAAAGCTGGCCGAACATGCTCCGAATTTGTGGAAGGATAAGGATTTGGTCAAATCACTTATAGCATCGAGATTGCTTCTTGGCTACCGCGATATCAAAGAGGATAGTAAGAACGTCGCGGATGCAGGCGAAGACGACATTGATGATCTTGATGAGGACAACGTCCATCGCGAGTGGTCGCTCAACAAAGCTGGCGAGATCGTGATCATCGATAATGTCAACTATATGACCCGGTTCCGCGACTTCATCATCGCAGCCCCACAAGAAGAGCTTCTCGAGGAGTTCTACGCTCGATTTGGTGTTCAGAAGGTCTCGGAGCTGGTCAAGACTGACCAACGCATCGGCACAGTAGCACGCGACCAGACGCCTGCCCAAGATCTTCGACGAGACATCCTGGAGCGTGTACGTCTCTTCCTTCACGAGTATGAACGCGATGCTTCTTCAAAAGCTATCAGACATGACGCCAAGTGGCTAGGTTCTAATCTGACGGTGCAATGTGTGTCGGATATCTCCATTCGTTATTCATTAGCGGAACGCAATGTCGCAACATCCTCACGTAAATCGGCTGTTATCATCAAGGTGCGTGGTACGGGGTACGTACTTAGCATCACGCCGAAATACGATCTCTACGAGGTGTCAAGCGAACTGGTAAGGTTACTTGTATCGCGGCCGAAGCGCAACGACGCCATCGCGCTAGAGCGCATCTTGACTGAGCCTCTACGCCGACTCCAGCAAAAGGGTATCAATGTCGAGCGTATCCTACGAAAGAAAGAGCACGAAGCGCGCATCGCCAAACAAGCCGAGCAAGAGCGCGAAGAAGAGGAACAGCAGCGAGTTGCCGAACAAGCTAAGTCTGGTCATGTGAAGTCAGAAGACCGAGAGAACATTCCACCTGAGACTCCAGAGAAAGGCAAGCATATGCCTGGTGCGTTTGGTAGTCCAGAGGGTGGCATGGAAATCGCCAACCACGGCCGTCAACCAGAGGAGCAGGGTCTCATCAACAACTGGGCGAAGAAGCTCGGTTTCAAGAACGCGCCTAGCGCACCTTCCCCTTCCTCCAAGGGTACAGACGGCCCCCAGATCAGTCGCGACATCCAAGCCACGAAATCGAACATCCAGAACGCTATCAAGGAATGTCGGCCCACCGGTATGGAGAACATCAACACCAAGCATCACCAGGACCCGACGGAACTCGACCGTGGAGGTTACTGTACCGGCGAACAATGGGAGAATCTGCACAAAGCGTTTTCGGTACCTTTCTCTGGCCGTCACGTCGACATCTACTATGGCCGCGACGAGACTGCGCCGCTCACCGACTTGCAATCTCACCTCCGAAAATTCCTACCGCTCATCTTTGGCCTCACATCAATCTTCAGCGTCAACCCTGCGGCGGTAAACATCTTCCTCGACAAGAAGTCCAACACGGTGGCGTTCAACATGAACGGTAGTCTGTTCTTCAACCTTGCTTGGTTCATCGCCCTGCACAGCGACGGATGCCAGACTAAGGAAGGGAAGCTCACAGCTCTGGACAGTTGGTTCTGCACGTACTGTCATGAGCTTGCGCATAATCTTGTGGCGGACCACAATGCGCGACATAGCTGGTACCAGCAGCAGATCATCATCGAATATAGTCAGCAGTACCGAGCTGCACTGGAGAACTTTACACAGGGTCTTTTGATATAGACGGGGCATGTTCATTACACGGATATACAGGTAGAATTGCGCAGTTCGGAGTCTGAGTAGTATTGCATTATTCTTATCTCGGATACGGTCAGACATTCTCCTACCCTCCAATCTATTTACTCTGTTATCGATCTATTTGACACTCATTGTCTTGTCATCGTACGCGGTGAGGTGAGTGTGCTCACGCTAACTTGGGCATATTATTAGGTCGCAGGTGTTTGTGCTCGATTACTCACTAATCCCTCAGCAAACGGTTCACCCCGAACTCCGACGTCCCCGCCCCATTGCATCTGCGTAGACCACTCACGTTTCTTCTCTTACCGCAGTGACAACCTAAAAGTAATCTCACAAACAGAGGTGAGTACCGACGGGGCAGTGTCTCAACAGTACTGTCGTGTCTGTATTACAACAGAGGTGTACATAAACCTCTTTTACCGCTCCTCTCCCTCTACCCTCTACCCTCCACTCTCTACCCACTTCTCTTCCCTTTCCCCAACATCATCAACTCTAGGTAGCCCACAAAGTCCCTACACATCTCACTACCTTGATACTAACTCGAAGACAGCCGAAATGAGGCTCACCACTCTCTGCATCACCGCCCTAGGCTTCATCGGCCTCGCCGTCAGCCAAGCTACCGGCAGCAAGACCACCCTAACAACAAGGCCATGCAGCAACCCCAAATCCTGCACCACTGTACACACTCCACCATCCCGCTCCAACGCCTACACCTCCAAGGAAACCACCGACTCGACTGAGCTCACCCGCACCATCACCGCGCACCGCCGCCAGCTCACCGTAGTCGAATCCCACACCCGAGCCAGCGTCCACACCTCCAAGTCCATCAAGACGCACAAGCCGCCCAAGCCCTCCAGGACCAAGACCTCGGGTGACTCCGAAATCCCTAAGCCCTCTGAAGGTTTCTTGGAGTCCGTCCGCCCGACTCGTGTCAGTGTTACTGCTCAGCGTCGTCAGGCTCTTCCGACTACTGCGACTTGCACTGAGATCACCTCTTGGGACTCTAAGACCTATGCGACTGCAATCTCTACGCATATTCAATGCGGACCGGATAAGTCTAAGCCTACTTGCTCTACTTCGTATGAGTGCGGTTGCCACTCCTCTGCCTTTACTAGGGATGATAATCCTGATATACACTTTTGCTGGCCCATGGCGACTAGCACTATCATGCCCCCGGACTACGGCGGCGGGCGGTCTCAGCGGTGGGTCGCAAAGCACGCGAGGGCTACATACGCACCTAGAGTTGCGTCTGAAGACCTCGGAGGCAGATCTCAGCGTCTTGTTGCGAGGCAGGCGGTGTCGACATCGACTTGCTCGCCGGGTCATGTGGGAAGTGACTGCAGCATTGTCGTCTCACCGCCAAAGCCTACGAAGTCTTGTCCCCCGGGTTGGGTTGGGCCTGACTGCCCTTTCGCAAGTCATGTGCCAAGCACCCCGACGGTTACGGCTACAAACGATATCTACGCTCATCAAGAGGCTGAAGCCAGTGGTAAACCAGTCTACGTGGTCACGGTCACCCATGTCAAGCGTGTTACCGCCCGTCAAGAAGTTGGACCGACTGATTTAGTTGAGGTCATCACGGTTACCAACACTAACACTAAAGAAGCTGGACCAATTGACCCGACCAACACAAACACCAAAGAAGCCGGACCCATTGACCCGATCGTAGTCATCACTGCCACCAAAACCCACGATGTCAATGAACAACAAGAGGCTGAACCGACTGACCCAGTCTACGTCGTCACGGCCACCGATGATATCGCTACCACCGCCCATCAAGAAGCTGAACCGACAGACCCAGTCTACGTCATCACGGCCACCGATACTATCGCTCAAGAAGCTGAACCGACTGACCCAGTCTACGTCATCACAGTCACCGACACCATCGCTACCTCTGCTCGTCAAGAAGCTGAACCCACTGACCCAGTCTACGTCATCACGATCACCGATACCATCGCTACTACCGCCCGTGAAGAAGCTGAACCAACAAACCCAGTCTACGTTATCACGGCCCTCAACCCAAATGTCAACAACGCACGTCAAGCGCCTGTTTCCAAGGAACCGCCGGCTTCGGAGGAACCCAAGCCTACGAAGGGGGGTTAGGAGTAGCGTGGTGGTATTATTGACTGAGGAGTGAAAGGGGGGTGGTATGAAGGGGGAGGGGTATGAGGATCTTGTGGATTTGATCGAAATAGTGGTATGCCGGTATAAGAAGGGAGTTTGAAAATGATGGAGCAAGGTCTTCGCTAGTCCAGCTATCCACATCTAGCAAGGGCGAGATTTCAAACTACCAGCCTTTCCACCTCGTGCTCCTCCTCTCTTCCACATTCTCAAACATTTATCTGCTCATACTCTACCCATTACACCCCAAACCCCTCTAAACCCGCCTCCGTACTCTCAATCACACCCGGATACACCACACCCCCCTGCCTCCTAACCTGATCCATAACCCGCATAACCACCTCCGTCTCCTCCAACCCCATGACCTCACTCTCCATCTTGCCATCCCGGATACACCGCGCGCACTCGTCTGCTTCCCAGAACATGCCATGCCCACCCCCGGGAATGCTCTTGTATTTGTCAACGACTTCGTACTCAAAGTCCGCGAGTTTCCCTCGTTTGTCGTTGGCAGCGGGTGTTAACGTGTATGTGCGCGGTCTCGGCGCGTAGTCGATTGTCAAGTCGCCGAGGGTACCTTGGATCCTTACTGCGTCGCCGCCGGGGTTAGGGTGTGATGCGTTGGGCGTCGTAGCAACAACAATACTCGTCCCCGCCACGCCCTGCGCCCCCGACCACGGAAAATGACAAAGCACAGTCGTCGTCTCATCAACGCCCGTCTCATACTTACTAACCGCCGAACTCACAACGGGCTCTTGTCTCTTGTCCTCCGGTTGACAGTGCCACAGCGCCATAACCACCCACGTCAAACTATAAATCCCCAAATCCAACAACGCGCCGCCCGCGAGATCAGGATTCACCATCCTATGCTGCGACCCAAACTCCTTTTCCACATCATTCCAGAAACTAAAGTCAGCGAAAACACGCTTTATATCGCCCAACTTCCCATCTTTTATGATGGAACAGACTTCGCGCGAAAGAGGGAAGAAACGCGTCCATACGGCTTCCATCATGAACCTGCCCTTTTCCCTCGCCAGTTTCCTCAGTTCCTGGCATTGAGCTGCGTTGACGGTGATGGGTTTCTCAACGAGCACATGTTTTCCGGCGTTGAGACAGAGGCGGGCGTGGTGGTAGTGGTGGGAGTGGGGTGTGGCGATGTAGATGATGTCGATGTCTGGGTCGGAGGCGAGGTCGGTGTAGGAGCCGTAGGCGCGTGCGGCGGGGGATGCGCCGACGGATTTGAGAAACTCGGTGGCGCGGGATGCAGATGTGGAAGATGCTGCTGCTGCGACGATATGGCGGATATCCGATGCATCGCGGGTTTGAGGGTCAATGAGGAGGTCTTTTGTGAAGGCTGGATTGGTGTTAGGGTGGGTAGGTTGAGGAAGATGGTGGGCTTCTACTAGTTGCTATGCCTCCCGTCGCTAACATCCATTAGCCTTCTCTCATCATGCGTAATAAGGCTGTGTTGTGCATACCCAAGATACCCCACCTGAGCGTGAATGGCTCCGAACTCATGTTTGCGAAGGTGTATTATCCCAATGTTGAGACTAAAGGGGAAGACGGAGATGAAATGGAGAATGCTTCCTTTGCACCTCCATCGCTATAAAGACAGCCCGATCCTATATGTCTTATGCGCCCTAGGGCACGGTTTTGCTGCAGGTACATGTGTAGCATGCCATGATAGGGCGTTGACAACCTCTCGATTAGAGTACCCCGCAGCGGGCGGTTGCATGCCAGAGGGCCTGATGACGCGAAAAGCGGAGAGACGGGATGCTATCCGCCTTGTCTATCGATAGCATCGCTAAATCAGATAATGGAAAAGATCTTATCAGTCATGTTATAGACCGTGAAGATTCCTATTCCTTCACATACGACCATAGGACAATGAGAATTAGGCTTCCCGTCCGCTCAGCCATATACAAGCATTGTACCGGCGGATTAGTAGTTAGGTGGGTGACCACTAGCGAATCCCCGCTGTTGTATGTTTTTGCCAAAAAGTCCGTCTTTTTTGCATCGACATGTTGTGGGCGCATGCATACTCGTCGAATTGCTGTACACTATGAGCATGATATTCCGATTCAATAATAGTGATGCGTGGCATTCCGGGTATATACATTTTAAAGCCTTGTTGTCCCTCCACGTACCGTGATAACAATGCTCCAGCAAGTGCTCATAGCCCAAAGTGACTCTCCATCGGCCTCCATAGTGTCGACTTCTTCCTACGGGTCGCGACGTGACCCGATATACAGCTGCGATTGCGACCGCAACCGCTTTCCATATGTACCTTTTCGAAGTACATCCTAGACCTTGCGCATGGCAAGCTTCTTGCGTGCCTGGATAGTGTAGGCGTAAAGGGCGTCCTTGAAAGCAAAGAGGAAGGCGGCGGTGATGACACTCTGAGTGACCTTGGGTCCGATGCCTAGCATTGGTTAGCACATATTCTCTTTTACTTCAAGCGATATTCTTCATACCTCCATACAGCCCAGTGTATCCCTCCTCGCGGATGATGCGCCTGAAGGTGGTCAACATATCCTCCCTCGGTCCGTCCCTGCCCGCAACGTGCATCCTGCTCTTGACAGTGATGTACGGGTAGGTGATGCTGGTAGCCAACAGCTTGCCCAGCGCACCAAGATAGAAGGCATCCTTGGGCGTGACCCTCCTCCGCTTCTCCAGCATCTGCTTCAGCTGCTCGAACACAGTGTATTGGAGGATCGGGTTGATGACCAAGACCAACGCCGGCATGACACCAGCGAACAGGCGCGCGGGGCCCTCATCGCGGACGAGGGCGAAGAGCGTGCCAAGCGTCGACGGCGCCTTCTGCGCAGGTGTGGGTGCGCCCGGGAGCGACTCGTCGGAGGCTTCGGATTTGCGCGTCGTCATGCGCGTGTTGACGACCCAGATGGGGTTGGTCATGAGGACGGTTGCGCTGCCGGCGAGGGCGCCTGCCATCATCGACTCGACCGTGGTGAGCTTGGAAGAGGCGCGACCGGCTTTGAGCGCAGCCTTTTCGAAGAAGGAGCGGGTCCATTCGTACCCTGATGCCGTCAGTACTTTGATGTATCGCTCAGGAGTGTATCGTCGTACAGTAGTAGTAGACGAAGTTTGTGACGCTGATGCCGAAGAGGGCAGAGTCGAGACCGGCGTAGAGGCCTGCGACACCCTCGCGCTTGATGATGCGTCGCGCGGCATTGAGCGTCGACGACTGCGCGCGCTTGGATTCGACCTGGGCGCGGGTAGAGAGGGTGATGAGCGGGTAGCTGGGGGTTGTTAGCAGCCCGCATCGCATCGTCGCGATGGCGCATACGTCAGGGCCATGGACAGCAGTCCTCCACCAGCGCCAGCCAGCGCATGCGCAACATTGTCGCTCTGCTGGGCCGCCGTGCTCTGGGGCACCGACGAAGTCGACTCGATGAGCTTCTCCTGCGCCTTTTCTTGTGTTTGAGACATGGTCGAGTGCAGAATCTGGTCGCGCGGGAGTTGAAGAGGGGAAGCGGGCGGTTGTTGCGACGGGAGGAAGGAGCAGCCGGTGAGCCGATGGGATTGGGAAGGTTAGGATAAACAGTGAAGGAGAGGGTATCAAAAGGGAAGCAGCTTCAAGTCTCGTCGGATGGTCTTCGTCTCCGCATTTGAGCTGCGGCTCCGGCTGGCTTGTGAACGTCACCAAGCATTTCCGGGGTAAGACGTACAACCGAGGCAACAACTTCCCCCGATCTAGTCGCATGCGGTAATCCTCTCCAAACTACCAACATGTGCAATCTCCTCGCCTCATGCACTGCACAATCAAAATGTAATCATCACTCTTGATTGGTCGTTGCTACTGGATTATTCTGCAACTACCTCTTGTATATCTTCCTCTCTGCTACCCGAAACGGTACATACAGCACCGCTGCCAGCACAACTGCTACCTCCAACCCGATGTCGCCCGTAGTCTCCGCGATGGGTCCTGTCCACCAAATCTGTCCCATACACGGGATGATGAGGGCAAAGGAAAGCAGAAAGGCGCCAATTGCCGCGAAACCGGGTGGCAGCTTGCTCGGCTCGTCCCACGCCTCTTCGTCCTCGGTATAAGCCATGAAGCTGCTGCGTCGGAACAGCACGTGTTCGGTGATGGCGATGCCAATGAAGGCCGCACTCCAGTACCCGATGACGCCGATGAAGTTTTCGAGGTTGAGGAAGAAGCTTGAGGAAGCCTCGACAGCAACGCCAATTACGATGCCAGTAATCACGATGCTGAAGAAGATGCGCGGGATGCGGAAGAGCCAGGGAAGGAGCATCTGCAGGTTTAGTGTTACGCTGTACATCGTTGCCGACAGGTTACCCAACATGCTAAAGGCAAGCACGACTGTGACGAAGCGACCAAACCCGCCAGCTGGTTGAAGCATGGCCGCAAGGACACCACTCGCTGCGTTGACGTCGTACCCAGCCTGCCATGAGGCAATGTTTGGCGTCGCACCTCCCATCGCTGCACCGAGGGTCATCAGCAGGATCGTAGGCAGCGCAAGGCCAGTGTAGGTGTAGAGCGCGATCCGGAAAGGAGGGGCCTTGGGATGCATATATGTCGAGAAGTCGCTCGCGAGTGCAGCCCATGGGAGCATGAAGCTCGCCACGAGACCGCCAAATGAGAGAACTTGTGACGCAGTAGCAGCAGGTGCTGCGACTTGCTGGCTGAGACTGCTACCCCCGCATCCTGCCGCAATGATGAGTGCGGCCAATGCTGGGATCCATGCCCAGCGCTCATAGTGATGCAATACTCCGAAGCCACAGAAGGAGATGACCAGCGACAATAGGGCGATGATGACGATACCCACCGTGGCGTTGATGCTTGCTCCGTCCTGCACCGCCGACAGTGCCATACCACCAATGACGCTGTCGACAACGCAGAAGCCCGTCAGCGTTGCAAGGTTGAGCAATATCAACAGAGAAACAAAGTATTTCCCGAAGGAAAACCTCGCTTGCACCAGTTGTCGCATACCCGTCTTCGGCCCCCACGTACACATGTACGCCACCGGCACCGTCGCCACGAGGGTAAAGAAAAGAATAACCAGCGCCGCGTCCCTCAGACTAAGAGCAAAAGACATTGTGCCCACCATACCAAAAGTCACACTGCATACCCGTTAGCCAACGTGCAAGGCCACCACTCCCCAATTGACCACTTACGGCAACGGATTACAACTCATGCAAAACCAAAGCGTGAAGATCTTTGAATACTGCGTCTCTGTCCTATCCTCATACGGCACAGGCGTACACCCTCTGAGCTCAATATCACCTTTCTTTTCCAGAAAACCCAGCACCCCTCTCCACCCTCCAACTCTTTCGTGCTTGCCCACCGTGACATCGCCATGTTGCTGCTCCACTCCCGCGACTTCCCCAACCGAAAGATTGGGCCGCTTGATGTCTTCCTGTTCCCGCGAAGGAGCACCACTCCCCACCCTGCTACTGCCCACACCTCCATTCGGGGCGTCTGCCATCTCTTTTCCCGGACCCGTGGTCTCTTGGCTCGCAGCACCGTTTTCGCCGCTCCACCCCGAGATATTGCGCGTGTAAAGTTTGTCAGTCGTGCGTAAGGGACCCGAGATGATGGTACAGACGCCGTTGACGACCCACTCGCTATGTCCGTCTACGGCTTGCAATGCGAAGTAATAGTGTGAAACTGCTCAGTCGTGTGATGCGATAAGGCCCGGCGCGACTATATACCTGAATCATTTGCTCCACCCAGTACAACGTCGTTATGACTCTTTGCTTACCCCATAGTGGCGGGCTTGCGACTATCGCGAACAGAGATTTTTTGCAAACACGACATTTCTGGTTCGCGCATCCTGTGCCCGGCAAGGCTAGACGCGCACCCGTCGGCACCGAGCGCTGCAAAATGCGTTCAATGCACGAATGTACGCATCCCACAACAAAGGGTCCATGACGATCTGGCCCACCTCGCGCGCTGCTAAGCCGACAACCGCATGATAGCCGTCTAATAACCGCGCCTTGACTGTGTGCAGCCGTAGCTTCAGGATGCTACTCCGACCATGACGGAGGTGGATGTGCGATGCGTATGCCGTGGTGTGCATGAGGTCTTGTCGGCTGCATGCTTGCTCGCTGCGCAATGGCCTGATTATAGACGCGCTTGCCGACTTCTCGCCGGTCTGCCGGACCTTCCCCACGGTCTTGACCGAGATGGGCGACACTCGTCCAACCACACTGCGTGCGGTGCTTGATACTCCGACGAGGGCGTGTAGCGTCCTCGGGGAGAGTGATGTTAGTTATCATGGGCGTTGAGCGCTGCGGCGTCGCCTTGCATGAGGCTGTCCCTCTTCGCTCATCTCCTTCTGCTGCGCTCATATTTGGAATCTGGTCATGGCTGCCGACGAAGAGAACAAGCGTGAACCCATACCGGTCGACGAGGCTGCTGTTGCACCTGAGCTGCCGGTAGAAGGTGAAGTCGAAGTTCCATATAGTATATATACCAGCAAAGAGAAATGGCTCATCGTAGCTATGGTCGCGTTGGCGGGGTTCTATAGGTACACTCTTCCCTTTCATCTCAAGTCAAAACATATACAACAACAGTAGCTAACACCACCATCAGCCCCCTCCCCGCAAACATCTACTTCCCAGCCATCCCAACCCTCGCCCGCGCCTTCAACCAAACCTCCGAAGCCATCAACCAAACCGTCACCGTGTACCTAGTCTTCCAAGGAATCAGCCCTATGCTATGGGGCCCCATCAGTGACCGCTACGGCCGCCGCCTCGTGTACCTGGTATGTCTTAGCATCCTCGTCGCATCCTCCATCGGCCTAGCCCTCTGTCCAACCAGCCACTTCTGGCTGCTCCTCTTCCTGCGCTGCTTCCAGTCCGGCGGCAGCGCCAGCACCATCGCCCTTGGCGCCGGCGTCATAGGCGATATATCCACGAGCCGCGAACGAGGCGGCTACTTTGGCATGTTCAACCTCGGTCCTATGCTCGCGCCGTGTATCGCACCTGCGATTGGAGGCGCGTTATCGCAGGGCTTGGGCTGGCGATCTATCTTCTGGTCCATCGTCATCATGGTTGCGGTTTGCCTGCTGTGCATCGCGCTTTTCCTGCCCGAGACCCTGAGGAGCATCGCGGGTAATGGCAGTATCCCTGTGCCCCGCCTCCAACGCGCTATCCTCCCTATCGTGGGCCAAAAAGCAACGAAAGAAGCCTTCGACCCGGATTCCCGCGCTAAGGCTAAACACTCTGTTAATCCCTTTGTCCTCTTTACGTACCCTGATGTCATTGTCCTGTTGACTTTTACCGGCCTGGTCTACGCTGTCAATTACACCATTACCGCCACCATATCGTCGGCTTTCGCAAAGATATACCCCGAGCTGTCGGAGACGGTGCTGGGACTCTGCTATTTGCCTGTTGGTGCGGGTATGATACTGGGGTCTACGATGACGGGAAAGATGTTGGATTGGGAGTACAGGCGTATCAAAGAGCGGTGTGGTGATAATTTCACTATTGAACACGCACGGTTGCGTATTATGCCGTTTTACCTCTCCCTCTTCATCGTCTGCGTCATCGCCTGGGGTTGGACGATACAGGCTAAAGCACACATCGCTGTTCCCCTCATCCTTGGCGTTATGCTGGGCTGGACGTCGATTGGTATCCTCAACACTACCATGACACTCAACATCGATATTCTGCAATCGCGCAGTTCGGGTGCGACGGCGTGTACGAACCTGGTGCGCTGCTCGTTGGCTGCTATTCTGGTGTCTATCATCGATCGCATGGCGAGTGCGTGGGGCGATGGCTGGACGTATACGTTTTGGGGTGGTATATGTTGTTTGTTGATGCCGCTTATGTTGCTGGAGATCAAGATGGGGCCGGTGTGGCGCAGGAGGCGTGAAGCTAAGGAATTGGAGGCGGAGAAGGCATGATTTGGTTGTTAAGAGGGGATAGGAAGAGGTTGTGAGTAACGGTCTTTGGTTGGAGAAAAGCATTATACCCTTTTGTTGTTAGTTTAGCATAGCGTTGCATAGTATCGCATCGAATTGCATTATATCACTCATATATTAGACGTTCCAGTTTCCAGTCAGCAAAGGTGATTTGATTCTCTATGAGCTTTTCTAGAATTGCATCGTATTTCGGGTTCCCACTTTGAAACAAGTCTTCTTAGATGTAGTGCAAGAGTGGTTCAAGATCGGGGAAATCTAGTATTACGCTCTTTGAAGGATGCGCAACTACCACATCTGTACTTGTAATGTCGGAGACACGTCCCCGAATGTAGTGGTACTCAGGCCATTTATGTCCATTCGTGTCCCTGCCCGAGTTCAGATCAACTGGCTCGAGGCTAGGTTTGATGCTGAGAACCTTGAGCTTTGAACCTCGGTCAGTCGCGAAGCGGAGAATCTGGTTGGCAAGATTTTGCATGACAACTTGACAGAAAAGCGTGTCCCGACCAGTTGGTCTCTCTGAAGAGGGGTCATCGAATTCAAGCACTGGAAGACTGAGTATCCGAAAGGCTTTCAATACGGGCTGTGTAGCGACTGCAGCCTAGAGCTTTGTTAGAGACTACGAGGTAGAGAACGTAGACGAAGCTTACCAGTACATGCGCATAGTCCTCATCTAGACTGAAGCCGTCTGGAGGGTCTGAGATACAACCCAATTCCAATGTTGGCATGTCAATCGCCAACGCTGTCAACTTGGTACAAGCTTTCAGTATAGCGGTTATGTCTGCAATAGGGAAATAGTTGCCGCCTTCAGTCATTCCACTTTCCATCATAAGCTCCGTAAGAGTCTTACAGTGGACCAAAACACTGTCTCTGGCAACCAGCCCATGCACAGACAAATCTAGCTGAAGATAGGTGAGCTTAGGACAGGTCTTGAGTAGCGTATCTATAGCCTGGACAGTATGTTTTGGATTTTCCATTCGGGTGGGGAGAGCGATAATGAGCTCTTCTAGTTGTCCGGCATTGTGGGTATAGAACGAGGAGATACCCTCCAGTAAGGGAATCTGATCGATGCACCACTCAATGTGCAACCCCTTCAAGTTCGAAAGGTTCAGCGACTCGTGAGTTGGTTGGTCTGCGTTCGCCGCAAGGTTTAGATTGAAAAGTCGCAAGAACGTGAGGTTTGGAAATATTGGCTGATCTATCGCGTGAGCCAATATCGCGCACACAGACACGTCGTAAGGATTTTCAGTCAAAGCGGCAAACAGCGAAAGTTCTCTTATCTTTGGGCAGTATTGAGACACAGACTTTATGCCATTGGAAATGCCATCCCCTGGTTTTTCACGTCGGTTGACGTATAACGTGATTCTTGAGACTTCGGAAAGTAGAGGACCCATCCATGTGTGATGTTCTTCGGAATCGAGCTCGACAAGATTGAACTGACCTGGAGTGCTGAATGAACCCCCAATGTCAATATCTTCTATCCTGCGTTGGGATTGTAGAAGAACTTGGAAGGTGAGGGCCGAGACTTTGCAAGTGCTCTCAAAGCGGCGTAGTCGATCTCTTGGGATTGCTGTGATGACCAGTATAGCACGGTAGTCTCCGTCAGTCGTTTTCGCCGATTCACATATGTCGAGCTCTCGGATGTGGCCCGTGATTCCGGATTGTGGATGGAGTAGTGTTGCTAGAGACGGAGCGGAGGCATCGCGAAAGTCCGTCTCAATCTTTTCCCACATTATGGGGCGTATCTGGTCTCTCCATGTGCGGCTGACAAGGCAGACGCTACTCTGGTGAGACTTTGATCGAATCTAGGTGCGATGTTAGCGTTTCTTGTAGATAGGGCAGTCGCTACCACTCACGAACGCGAACACATTGCCGACCATTTCGGGCGGCAAGTCGGCGAAGGTCGCATATGCCATGTTGCGATTGGAAGGCCGCGAGAATCGGTCGAACCGTTGCGCAGTCGTGACCAAATATAGCGGGTGACTAGCAATTGGAGTGAGAGCAATCGAGGTGAGGGCGTATGGCTCGTGCGGTGTGTGCTCCTGCGCCGCCAAGACTTGTGGACGCGATAAGGGTCCATCATGGCAGGTGGGTACAGGAAGGAGCGTAATGTTACTCAGCCATGTCTTAGTCCGAATTTATACCTCAGCCTGGAGGTATATACTGCGCCCTCTCTCTCTTATGGATCCATCACCAGTACCGTCGGCGCCGTGCCTGTGTGCGCCAGATACTGGATGAGCAAAGCCGTCATTCACCGAGTATGAGTAATCTTCAGGTTTGTACTCAGTATCTGCACAGCGGTTCTTGTTGTGCCTGGTCGTGCCTTTTCTGATATGTTGTGATGACAGTCTTCGCGAGCAGTGCCCTGTCGCACCTTCCAACCGCATACCTTACCTTTGCTGGCGCCTCACATTCTCTCAAGCCTCACTCTCTACTGTACCATATCCACTCCTGCTCACGTCAGTAGCATGTCACCGAAACGACAACAGGCGACACGGCTACCTGCCCTGGAGTTCATCAAGCGTATGCGATTCGGAATGCCACCATACGACGACGACCACGAAGACAGCAGTGCCTACAGTCTGTTCATCGGCAGTGAACCAGAAGATAACCTCGCCCTTCTACGAAAAAAAAGAACCAGAAGTTGTATAAAGCGATGAAGTCTTGACTGTCAAGAACATCGAGGCCGGCGAAAGCGAAGAAGGCAAAGAGGGCGAGAACGAGAAAGAGGAAGAGGGTGCATGTCCAACAGAAGACAGCGAGGCCGAAGAATATGACAGTGAGGCCGGAGGGCGATACTTTGAGGGCCTCCAGTCCAACTCAGAACCCGGAGACTTTGTGGACATGAGAATGAGTCTCATCTACGAGTGCAGTCATCAGGTTAACACCGCCTTCCGTGTCAGGATGTTCGATGCATTGTGGTGTCGCTGGGGTGAGGATCTGGTTCAAGAGCGCCGGGTATTCGACGAATCTGTACCGAACGTGCACTTGCACAGTCTTCGTCGCATCTGTTACGTAAAGATACGCGTACATATATATTGCGCTTTGAATGAATGGAAGTTCGTCGGGCGCATCGTTTTTTGGAAGACTGCTCGGAAACAGGGTACGTCGACGCGTGATGACGTTTGAAGGCCCTATTTAACCGTCAGCATAGGTAATCCACCCTGCCCACGCCCCACCATGTTGGAATAGTGTTCTTTTCCACTTCCTCCTACCGCCTCATACTAGAGAGAAACTAAATGAGTATGCAGACTACATTGAGTAAAAAACTTGCAAAATACCTAGGTAGATAATCTAACATCAACGTACCTAGGCTCCAGGGTGTTGAGCTTTCTCTTGGGGTCCAAGGTTGACGTGCTACCATGCCCTTTGATCAAGTCGAGTTTATCACGCTTCTAACAAACTACTACGAGTTTTGCAATCGAGTCTTCTGGGATGGCTCGATCATCGCACAAGCGCCCAAAAATGGCTGGCCGTCAATCACACAATCCACCATGGCCAACCTGAACAAGACTGATGCAGTCATCGACTTGCTTCGCCACATGCCTTTTGTAGACTTTGTTGAGCCAGACAAAGCCTACGGCAAGCACGTCATCATGAAGAATACACGATTTCAGGATTACCGCAGCGAGGCGATGCAGAAAAGGATCCGCGACGGGGACCTCGAATACCACGTTGAGCCTATAGGCGATCCCTTACCACCATCATGTATCTCTTTCGGTAACAGCAACGGGCGTAATGGCTACAATCTTGTCATTAACACGGATGATGGATACGTCTACTGGGGGGAACCTTGCGGCCTGCCCGACGAGCCAGCGCCAGAGCTCAATGCCGTGGTGCAAGAGCGCTACGCCGGGGACGAAACCGAGCGTTGGCGGCAGGGCTTCAACGTATATCGCCCACGCGAGTTTTTTGCGCTCTGCAAACAGCGGTTCCGCGAGCTTCGCTGGATCGGTCTCCAGACGGATATAGTTGACGCGGTACCGATGTACTGGGAGCTTGATGACGCGGACGACGAGTTCAAGTCGCTTGTGCGCAAAATGAAAAGAGCTGGGTGGCCGGGAGACGGGCAAGGCCGGGACTGGGACCGAGAGGCCTTTCAAGCGGCGCTCGAGGTGTATAGCGATGAAGAGGACGAGGATGTCGTACAGGCGGCGACAGAAGGGCTAGATGATACTCACGTTCACTAGATGTTTGGCGTCAGTATGGAGGAGTGGAAGGACTGTGCAAGCCAAAATTGTCCACCCACCTCATTGCCTCGTCGACTAGAGTCTGTCGACGCGATACAGCATCGGCTCTACAAGGAAACTATTTTCGATTCACGCAAAGCGTTGTTCCTGGGCCGGGGACGCACTGTACTCGACAAGAAGGCGATATCTCGGGTTGTACAAAGACGAGGGGAGATGAAGGAGATGAAGGAAGACCTGGTGTCGTTCTTCGACTGCATTGGCTTGTGCAGTCTTTACCGGGCTTGTTCCAGGTCGCTGGATATTGACGTGAAGTTCCGTTTGTCAGTGGTCTGGAGGATGGTATTCGGTTCAGATACATCTGCTGAAACTAGCAAATCCCACACTGCACAATGGGACGCAACTGCGTCTGTACAGCTGGATCATCATCTGGCATGTGACGTTCCGGCTTAGTAGAAGAAGTAGTGTAGCTCGTTGAAACGTGTTTGTGTGGTTCTGAGATCTGCCTTGCCGTACGACATGCACGGTTGACGAGGCCCACGATGCCTGCATCGGCCTTCTATCGCACCTGCATGTTCTTGTCAGCACATCCCTGATACCCAGAATCCTTTTCGAAATGCAACGTACCAAGTCGGAAACATTGCCGACCAATTCGAGCTGTAAAGCAGTAAGGTTTCTGTGCGTCATGGCTGGATGTGGAGGTTGTGGGGGATTGGTGCAGAGACATCCGAGGTAGCAGCAGCGTTGATGAGAACAGAGAAAGGTGTGCCGCAAGAAAGGCAGGTGGAACGCGCAGCCCTTGCAATGTTGGTGTACTGCCAAGACTTGTGGACGTGAACAGAGTCCTTGACGAAAAGATACTCTCACGAATGAGAGAAATCGCAAGTATAATATACTGTCAGAGTCCCTCACCCGGCATATGATAGAGCGCATACTAGGTTTTATTCCGATGTGATGCACGCTGAAGCATGCATTACCCTCATGATTTGCATACTACGAGATACAATACAGCTTACAACCCCACGATAAACATTAGCTAGAGAAGCGCCTGAGGATGAAGTCGCCAGGGTAGTTCCTCGATATCTTCTCCATCTCAACGCGCGCTGCACCTACTAGATTGCTGCCCGAACTATCTCGAACATTTCCGCGCGTGTGGATATACCAAGGCCAGAAATAGCGATCTTCCATCGGCATACGTTCTTCAAAATCACTTGTGTCAAAGGATTTGACTAGGAGGAGTCTCGGGACTGTACCACACTGCGACATGTGACTGAAGATCTGATCGCCGAAGTGTTTCATGGCAGCCTCGCACGACGCACGGAAGCTGCGTTCCTCCATCAAAGGCGTCTCTTCAAATGTCTCCGAATCATAAGAAAATGTGATATCAGGCTCGCTCAGTATTTCCATGGTATGAAGACTGGGATGGGCGGCACATTGTGCCTACGATGCCAATCAATAAAGATACCAATACAAAAAGAACATTACTTACTAGTACATCTTTGAAAGCGGCACAATCCCGCTCACTTGCTTTGAATTGAAATTCGTCCCCGAGCTCTGTGATATGTCCGAGATCGATAGGTGGCAGATTGATGGCGAGTCCTCTGAGCTTTGTGCACGCCCTCAAAATCACCCCGACTTCGTCTCCCGGGTAGTAGTGCGACTGAGAATCCGTGAGAAAGTTTCGAGATTTTCCGATGACGACGTTACGAAGCGTCGCAGCGTGAGGCAGGATACAACTTTTGTCGACAAGTTTGCCGTTGGAGAGTTGTAGTTCGAGATTCTCAAGTCTAGCGCAGCAGACTTTGAGGAAGTTTTCAATGGATTTTGTGGTCTCGACCTGCACTTCGTCTTCAACACCGTTATCTAGGCGGATGCACAACTCCCTTAAATTACCAGGTGTCTCAATGTAGGATTTTGAGAGACTCTCGAAAAAGGGCGACATCGAGCTACAGAGCAAAAGATCCAACCTCTCTAACCTTGCAACGTCGAAGGTGTGGGAGAACTGAGATGAAGCATTCGGTACCAGGTCTATTTCCTCCATCTTGATAGACGTCAGATTGGAGAATAGGCGACTCTCCGGCGATAGCGAGAGCAGTCCTTGTAATGAGATCGGAGGGTCACAATCGGCTGACAAGTTCAGCCTTTCGAGACTAGGGTAGAGGTCGATAAAGCTCTGCAGATTCCGGTGGTTTTTCTCGACCTCTTCTTCCTCTTCCTCTTCGCGCTCTAGAAGAAGACTAATCTCCTTCAGTTCAGGCGTCAGCGATGCAACCCACGCGCGGTATTCCCGGGAAGTACAATGATAGTCACCCGTCGAGCCAAGGCAGGTAAATGGAGTCACTGCACAGATTCTCTCTAGCTTGGTCTGCGATCGCAACAATTGCAAGAAAAGCTCATGCTGCATGTCGTCATAGGCCTGGAAAATGCGGAGTTTATCGCGTGGAAGTGCCAAGATCAACGACTCGAAACGGTTATTCGAATCCTCATCCGTAAAGTCCGCAAAGCATAGATTCCGTACATGTGGGAGGATCCCGGAGTTAGGATCTAATAACGTCGTCAAAGAGCGGCCAGGGGAAGAGCCTTGGTGATCACCCAAGCTGAATTCAAGCTTTTCCCACAAGATAGGGGCCATAAGCTCCCGCCATGAGCGGCTCACGAGACATACAACGCCTTGATCTTTCTTTTGCCGGATCTAATAGATGTGTCAGCGCTTTTTGGCTTACAGAGCGGCAATCCCCGGAACTTACAAAAGCGAAAACATTGACAACCAGCTCGGTTGGCAGATCGGAGAACGTCGCGCTCGCCATAGTGGCGTGGAATCGTGAGTGCGGATTGCTACGATCCTAGGTAGTGAAAGGGGGATGTTTGCGCGTCGCGGGTGGACGGCTGAGCGTGAACATGGCTCGTGCGACGACGCGTCAATGTGTTGCCCCACCAACCTCAGGATTCAAGCAACGTAGTGGGGCAAGAGGGAGTAAGCACGACGCCCATCTTGTAGAGATCCAAGTCAAGTATAAAGGCAACATTTGGAAGCATCATCCAATTAGCTCCGAGGCTGTCGCTCCGGCCCCGGGGACGGTGTGCCATACTATCACGTGACGCCGCGGCAACCTGCTTGCCCGCTCGCAGTCGCGCCTTCCCATACTACCCTTGGCTGGCTACATACCCAACTCCCACACCAAACGCGTCTTCAACATCCCAGTATGCGCCACTCACCATAGTGTTCCATCATATACTCGACCCCGCCATACGCATCACAAGCGACTCTGTTTCATCCTGCGGATATCTATCCACATGCGAGGCCATCACCTCCCTCTTTCCTCTCGCATCGCACACATAACCTTTGTTGAACAAATATGCAGGCCACAGACACTCATCGAAGAGCTGGTAGGTGATACTAGGTCGAGTGTCGAAAAAGATGGGGGCGGTACCGCGTTTCGCCATGAAGCGCATGATCTCCGTTGCGAAGTTCTGGTACAGGACGCGAGCTAGTCGGTGTTCTGAAGCGCTGAGCGAGTCGGTTTTGTGTGCTATTTCGATCTCTCCGAAAATTGGGAGGTTCAATATGCGGAGGGTGTGAAGAGGGGTGTGCTGGGCGAGTACGGTCTAGATTGGTCGATGTCAGCTGGTGGTCTAGTGGTGAGGAGTAAGTAGGTTCTGGGACTTACGAGCATGGCTTCGAACTCGGTCTCTACATGTGTGAGACAGGTTTGGGGTCTTCCCAGTCTGAAGTCATGAGCTAGATCGATAAGGGGTCCTAGGCTCACGGCAGGGAGATTGATGGCGACGTCTGCGAGCTCTGTGCAAGCGTTTAGAATCGCTTTGACGTCTTCCACGGCAAATGAGCGCCCTCCCCTCTCCTCACCGGTACCCAGTTCCAGTGACTTAAGCTTAGACTGAGCGATGATAGCGTCTTTGTTTATCAAGGCATGGCGCGATGCGTCCAAGATGAGCTTGTCAAGTTTAGGACCAGTCTCGAGGAAGCGTTGGACAGCCTGAATGTCGTTGTCGGGATGGAGTGAATTAGAAGGGAAGAAGATCTCCAGATCGGAAAGATGGGAAAGATAACTGCCGTCACTGTTGGCGCGTTGTAACAGGAGGCCACCCAAGAATGGGGCCATGTCATTGCAGCCAATTAGTGACAGCGTGCGAAGGTTCGCAAAGCTGATGTTACTGAAAATCGCCTTGTGGCTCATTCCAAGGTCAATAAGCTTCAGACGGAGGGAAGTGAGACTTGTTAGAATGGGCTCTTTTATGTCATGCTGTAGGATGTGATGCATGTCCAGGCGGTCGAGTGGACGATTCTCAAAGAGCGTGCCCTCTATGGACAAGGTCTGCAGCTTGAGAACGTATGTGAGAAGTTTGCGGTAGTACTCAAAAGAGCTTTTCGCTAGTTTCGGATAGCAACGAGCATATACAGCTAGTCCAGTGAGGTCTTTTAGTGGAGGTTCCATCAAAGGACCAGTTGTGCGGATAGGAAGAGGCCCCTTGCCCGCGAACGCCTCGTCGGGCCTGATGCGAAAGTTCAATTCTTTGAGCTTCCGCTGGAATTTGAGGAGTATGTGGATGGTATGACGGCTCGGTCTCAACGTGCTGGCCATGAAGTGCGTGATTCGGTCGCGAGGTAGGGACGTTAACAGTAGACGTAATTTGTGCTCGATTTGGTCCATTTCAAACGAATCGCCCGCGACTCGTCGGGGTGCTGCTATGATAATCCGTCGGATATGAGGGAGTATCGTGCTCTGTGAATTGACAAGTGCTTTCATCGACTGAGATTTGCTTAGCAGAAGATCGGTGTTCAACGTGTACCACATCAGCGGCGCAAGATTAACGCGCCATTTGTGGCAAACAAGAGAGATGGCTTGCATATCCTCTTTTCTTCGGATCTCATCAAAGATCATGCTGAGCAGCTCTGTTGGAAGGGCGGAGAAACTCATCTTGGCGGAAGCTGCGTGGAGTTGAGTCGAGACTATCTCGTGTGGGTGGAAGTTGATAGTGAGACTGGAGGGACTTGATAAGCGTGGCCAGCGGTGTCGACGCGCAGTGAACAGGAGTCGCCGATAAGACAGTCATAGTCCTGATTTCACAGACGTGCTTGCTGCACTCAATTCACTGAGTCGAAGAAACCTGACTGCATCACTCGACCCAAGAGGTATGCGCCACATTCGACGACGACGCAGGCTTGTCTCTTGTTCGCAACATGATACCGTCTTAGACTCCACGCGGCGCGACACGAGTATTCGCCCCAGAAAGGTCGTAGTCGGTGTAGTGGCAATCATCCAAGAGCGAGGTTCGGCCGGGGCACACCAGTCACAGTGGCAGGTACAACCAAAAGGGCTTGGGATGATTGCCACTCGATAGGCATTGTCGCATATTCAGTGTAGAGCGTAAATAGGCAGCCAGTCAGCGTGCAGAGCGGCGGTGGTAGGGGTTCGGATGGTGCAGCGACATGGGTGTGGTGAGCAGTGGTGCGTCGGCTGATCCAAAAATAGACGGACGATGCTGGGGTACCGCTCAGCTGGCATAACTGACCAAAATGCCCCGAAGCAGGCAGGCACGACCCGCCATAGCACCTGAACGACCGCAAATTACCACCCGCTGGACCCTCGACGACGCGACTCCATAGCGCGCTGCCACGGCAAACGACGTAATCGCCCTCTCGCGACTGCCCTGACCGAGCGACGGCGCTGGGCGCATCGCATCCTATCGTTGGACCTCTTCGCGCTGCACTCGCCGGCTCCGCTGCGACAGCAGGCGCTGCGAGAGGACTCCCTTGGGGCCAGAAGAAGCAAACCTCGGGACTGACTCTATATCCATGGCCTGCTATTGGCATTAGCGCGGCCGCGAATCATCTCGACGCCCTCATGGCATGCTGACGGGCCGAGGAAGCAGCAGAGCGCGTTACACTGTGGAGAACCATGCAGGTCGACTTTGGCGACGAGGGAGAGACGGAGCACAGCCTGCACCTGACAGCCAACGCCCACCAGCACTACGAACACGCGGGGCCTGGCAGCGGGCCCGCCTACTCGCCCTTCCGGCACCCAGGCGGCGGTGGTGTAGCAGCAATTGATCCGGGACTGGAGCAGAGCACAGGTGCCAGCCGCAATGTGCACACGCCCATTCCCCAGTCCAGTCACCTACTTCAGCCAGACAATGCCCATAACCTCGCCCACGGCTTCTACGCCGACATGCGCAGCTCGCAGACTCCCCCGGCGTCTGCGCATGCCTCGCCGCGCTTCCAGGCCATATCGCCCACCAGCCAGCCGCGCCAGCCATCTGCCCACTACGAGCCCGCCGACCGCGACACGCCCTCGCGCAATGTAGCCGACGACACCATCGACGACGCCTACGCGACCTTTATCCTCTACTGCAACCCCAACTTCCCCACCACCATCGACACGAGCGAACTCGTCAAGCTGTTCCGGACGCCGCCCAAGAGCGACGGCAACGCATTCAACACATGGACCCTCTTCGAGCTGATACGCAAGCTGGACGCCAAAGAAATCAAGACATGGACACAACTGGCGCTGGATCTGGGCGTCAAGCCGCCGAACACAGACGAGGGACAGAGCACGCAGAAGGTGCAGCAGTACTCAGTCAGACTAAAGGTAAGAGCCTCACATTCATTCACACTTCTTATATCCGGCAATCGCCGAGTCATTTTCTACACATTTTCCGTGTTCTGGCCCAGTGGGCTCCAACAACGTCTCATGCATGTCATCCGGGTCGTGCGGCGCAGTCGACTTCAGCCTCAAACGCCTCATTGTGATCCGAACCACCTACTTGGTATCCGGCGCAGTGTGCGAACCGAGCCACTCATTATGTGAGATACCTGAGATGTACTGTTCCTCACGAGTTGGTCAAAGATGTGGCCTCTGCAGGTCAGAGGGGCCGCGCATTCCGACCTGGCCCCCAATCACTTGTCATTTCATACATCATTCCGACCTTTGCTAATCATCACAGCGATGGATGCGCGCCATGCACATCGACGCCTTCTTCGAGTATTTGCTGGGCAAGCAGCACCCCTACTTCCTGCAAATACCGCCGCCTCACAACCCCTTTCCGGCTGACGGGCGGGATGGCGTACCCTTGGAGGAAGATCTGGCCATCCGCGCTCTCGATCCCAAGTTCAAACCGAAGCGCGGGCGGCGGAAAGCTGATGACGGAGAGGACGACATCGACTTTGACGAAGGCACACCGGCTCGTAAGCGCCCGCAGTTGGATACGTCAATACCGTTTGGCAACGTGCTGCAGCCCCAATCAGCGTATCCCACTAGCGCCCATCCTCACAACATGCACGGAGGCTTCCTCACACCTCAAGAAGCGTGGACTGCAGTCTCAACCGTCACACCCTCTTCGGCTTTAACAGCAGCTTCAGCACCAAGTCGTTTAGGCCAAAGCTTGACACCATATACCGATTCGCCAATGTCTGGACAACACATACGATGGCGACTGAATCCTTACGACACGCCTCAAACCCCTCATCCACTTTCCGCGGTAACACCACAATCCGCATACCCCTTCTTCGATGAGCCCCAGTCTGCTGTCACGCCTTCCAGTGCGAGATCACGCTCTCGCCGGCGTCACGGCCCCGCTGTATCGTCGGCATGGTCGACCAACAACACCTCGTCTACCGGCAAGCTTCGTGGCCGGCCGCCGAGCAATCGATCATTTCGAGATGGACCGTATAACACGTTTCCAGCCAATCCGAAGACCAAAGAAGGCCCACCAATCGACCGCACTCCAGGCAATCTGACACCGATAGTTGAGCGGGCGCACTCTGACCCTCCAGCACCCGAGAACTCCT